AAAACACTATATTTAAAAAAGAAGAGCACAATCAAATCCAATCGGATCTCCGGCAAAATACAAAAATATCACTGTATTTACACTAAAAAAATGTAGAATACGTTCAAATCCTTTTAACTGTATTTAACTAAAAAAATAAAGAATATAGTCAAATCTACGACGAGAATACAAAATACACTATATTTAAAAATGGAGAACACAATCAAATCCCGTCAAATCTCCGGCGAAAATCCAAAATACACTTTAGATCTTTGACGAAATTACAAAATACACTGTATTTATACAACGATTTTCCAACGTGAAAGGCAGTAGAGAAGAAAGAGGCTGCTTCTTTTTTCGGCGTGAAAAGCAGTAGCGGAGGAATAAGTCTTAGGTCAGACGAATATACTCAGATGTGAGATACAAAGAAGGAGAAGAAGTCATGATTCCAGCATCTACTTTAGATCTAGATTCGATGACGCCTCCGATCTTCCTCCTCAATTATTTTCGTTGTTGATAATGGATTGATCTCAACTTCGTGATTTTAGATCTGGATCTAACGGTGGGTGGTGACGGTGTTTAAGGATGATTTGCGGCGAATGGGGTATATGGCGGAGGGTGGTGATATATGGGAAAGAAAGAAAAATGTGGTTGTTGTGAGAATGAAGGAGTCGACTGTGTAGTGCTGAGTAATGAGCCAGCTGGCAAGTTAGTTAGGACAATTGGCAGAGTTAGTGCTAGCATAAGTTAGTTGATGTTCTTAGAGTTAGTTGTCAATAATTAGTGGTCTTAGCTTAATTAAGTAGAGGTTAGTTGTGTCTATAAATACAGGGTTGTATATGTTATTGTATATACACAACAAAAATACACATAAAGTTTCCTACTTCATTTCTCTCTCCTTCTTCTTCTTCTCCCTTACACGATACTGTTACATTTATCCATTAAGAGAGTTTATGACCTAGCTCAATTGAAGCTCAAATCACAAGGTATTAGAGCAGGCATGGCTAGAAGTACACGAACAGTGCAATTTTATTGTCAATTCTAGCAATTGATCTTCCTCTTAAGCTCAACAATGGGAGATGATAAGATCGATCATACTCATCCACTATTTCTTCATCCTTTTGACATGGCGAGTTCAGTTTTGATTCCAATTCAACTCACAGGATCTGAAAACTATGGATTGTGGCAGAGAACGATGCGAATTGCAGTTCTAGCTAAACGAAAATTAGGGTTCGCGATTGGTACTTGTCAAAAGGATTCCTTTAAGAAGGAACTACATGAGGAATGAATGACATGCAATGTGATTGTCCTCCCCTAGATCATGAATACAGTATCGCAGAACCTAGTTAATGAAATTGCTTATGCATCTGATGCTCATTTAGTTTGGAAGGACTTAAAAGAGAGGTATGATAAGGTTAATCGTGTAAGTATATTCCAATCGCATAGAGAAATTGCAAAAATCTCACAAGGAACAAATTTTATGGACACCTAGTTTACAAAACTGAAAGAGTTATGGTTAGAGTATAATGCCTTGGTGCCTTCACCTGGATGTGACTGTGTGAAATCAAGGGATTATATTGTGCATCTTCATCAGCGTAGGTTGCTTCAATTTTTGAGTGGTCTCAATGAATTAGATGATCAAGCAAGGAGACAAATCATAATGAAGACAACAGAACCGACACTGAATCAGGCTTATGCTCTAATTATTGAAGATGAGAGTCGGAGGTCAAGCCCATATCCAACCTTAGCTTTTAAAGCAGATGCAAGTATTATGCAGGCTGGTCGAGGGACAATTCCTAGAGGAGAGCCAATTTCCATGCAAGCTGGTAGAGGACAACCCTGTAAAGGGAAGAAACCCTTCATGTTGTGACTATTGTCATGAGAATAGGCATTTAAAGGAAAACTACTTTAAATTGATAGGGTATCCAGGAGACTTTAAGGCAAAAAGGCGGGTTGTGGCTAACAATGCTACTGGTGTACTTGAGCATAAACAACAGACACAGATGAATGGAGAAAAAGGATCTAGTTGTGATCAAGTAGCAGGGCATTTCTTCACTGAGGACCAGTACATGAAAATATTGAATATGCTGAATAAGGATACTTCTGTACCACAAGTAAACATTGTAGGTATTACTACATCTCTAATAACTAGTTGCTATAATAGTGAGTGGATAGTTGATTCTGGTGAAACTCATCATATAGCTGCCTTATTAGACTTATTGCATTCTAAAACTAAGTTGAAAGGTGAACAAAAGGAACATGTACAACTGCCCACTGGTGAGAGAACTGACATTACACATACTGGTAGTGCCACTATTCTTAAGGATTTGGAGATGAAAAATGTGCTATTTGTTCCGGACTTCAAATTTATTTGCAGTTTGTATCCAAACCCACAAAGGAACTCTGCTACTCAGTTCATCTTTATCTTGACTTCTGTGTATTTCAGGACCTTTGGAGTGGCAGGGTGAGGGGGATTGGTAAGGAAAAAAGAGGTCTATATGTGGTGAAGGATACACACATAGCAAAAGTGTTGTAGCAGATATCGACAACCACCACTCAAAAGCCAGAATTTGATGGCCATCTTTGGCACCAGAGATTAGGACGTGCCTCAGTTAGCACAATGAAACATATAAATTCTTTTCAGCATGCGACAGTAGATATAAATGCAAATAATGATTGTTCAATTTGCCCTTTGGCTAAACAAAGTAGGTTGGTCTTTCCTAGAAGTGTTAGTCCTTTGCTATTGTTACATATGGAGGTTTGGGGTCCTTGTAAGTTCCCTACATATGATATGAAGCATTTTTTCTTGACCATTGTGGATGATCATTCAAGATATACTTGGGTCCATTTACTGCAGTTAAAGAGTGATGTTATAGTAATCATGCAGAAGTTTCTTTCTATGCTCAGAACACAGTTTAATGCAGTTGTTAAGACCATTAAAACAGACAATGAAGGAAATTTTTTTAATAAACAATGCAGTAACTTGTTTGATCTCTATGGTATATTACACCAAAGTAGTTGTGAATACACACCCCAGCAAAATGAGGTGGTAGAAAGGAAACACAGACACATTCTTGACACAGCAAGGGCACTGAAGTTTCAAGCTAATGTGCCAACTAGATATTGGGGAGAGTGCATAACTACTGTTGTAGACCTTATCAATAGGCTTCCTACTGTTGTTCTGGATGGAAAAACACCTTATGAATTGTTGTATCATACACAACCTTCACTCAACCATTTGAGAGCGTTTGGTTGCCTCTACTATGCTACTACCTTGGTGCATAGAAACAAATTTTCAGCAAGAGCCAAACCAGCAGTCCATCTTGGATACTCAGAAACTCAGAAAGGCTACAAGCTGCTAGATCTTTCTACTAACCAGTTTTTTGTTTCCAGGGATGTTGTGTTTAAAGAACACTTATTTCCTTTTATTCAGCCTTCTTATGGAAACATCCGGTGGTCCATGATAGGGGGAACGTGCAGGTTAATTATGAACCATTCCGGTTGATCATGACTTCCTACAACAAGATGATCATGAAGGCCTTGAACAAGTATCCACTTCTCATTCACAAGAAGCTGAGTTTCACCAATAATGGATTCAACTCCAATTCCTGGCGTAAATAATGTACCTACTAAGAAAGTGCAAAATGGGCATGCAACAAATGAGTATACACAAGGAGAAATAAGTACAACACCAAGCTTATATGACATTATAAGTGAGGATGAGCATGATGCAATGTATTTGCCACAAGACGTAGACACATTACCAGAGATAAAACCTGCCCTTACAAGTGAAGAACCAAGAAGGTCTAACAGAAATGTCAAAGAGCCCTTGTGGTTGAAGGACTATGTGACACAAAAGAATGCTAATGAGACAACACTGTATCCTTTATCAGACCATTTAACACATAATAGGCTATCAACATCTTGCCAAAGATATGTAGCAAAGATCTCTTCACTGACAGAACCTCAAAGTTTTGCAGAACCATCTAAAGACAAAAGATGGGTGGAAGCAATGCAATTGGAGATTAAAGCCTTAGAAGACAACAAGACTTGGGAGATAGTAGATTTGCCTAAAGAAAAGAACACCATTTGATCAAAATGGGTGTACAAGATAAAGTTCAAAGCAAATAGATAAATTGAAAGATTCAAAGCTAGATTAGTGGTCAAGGGGTACAATCAAAAGGAATGCTTGGATTATCATGAGACCTTCTCACCAGTTGCCAAAAATGGTAATTGTGAGAAGCAGTCATTGCAGTGGCAGCCTCAAAAGGATGAAACATATACCAAATGGATGTTCATAATGCTTTTCTCCAAGGAGATTTGTATGAAAAGGTGTATATGTAACTGCCTCAGGGATTCAGAAGATAGAGGGAGACAAAAGTTTGCAAGTTAATGAAATCCTTGTATGGCTTGAACAAGCCTCAAGACAATGAAACATTAAACATACTGAAGCTCTTCTGGATGCAGGCTATAGTCAGAGTCTCTATGATTACTCATCAGTCACAAAGAGAAAGGGAACAAATTTGTAGCTGTATTGGTATATGTTGATGACTTACTCATCACAGGAAATAATGAGGAATTTATCGCTACAAAAAAATGGAAATATTGTGGCGGTTATATTACGACGGTTCCAATAAACCGCCACAAAATCTAATTAAAAATGGCGTCTTGCCAGCCGCCGATTAAATATTTTCAATAGCGGCGATTAAAACCGCCGTAATATTTTACTCACAACAATTGATACTATTCCCCCATATGTTTTAGTATTTCCCCCTCATTATTTTGAGACTCCCTCCAGAATTCCCCAAATGACTATCTGCTCAGTTATGAAGCTTACCCTTTCCCTCCCAAAAATTATCCTTTCCTTTCAGATCCCTCCATCCTTTCCCTCCGAAATTTTTTGGTAAAACTTATGCTTACCCCATTTTCACGATTCATTATTCTTGAAGGTAAAACTCACTCTTATCCACCATTCCTCTGTTTTAGGTAAAATAATTGCAGCTGAGGCATGAAATTGATAAGAATCGAGATTCAAATCAGGTAATGTAGCGATTACGGTTCATGTATAGTACCAAAAGTTCTTTTTCTCTTTATTAGGGTTCATGCATGTAGAGATTTTTCCCAATTTGTTCTAATTCTTTTTCCTTAGTCCGATAATCAATGATTTTGCTACAGTTTGGTATTTCGATTTTCCTCAGTCCGTTTTTCCCCAATGCTTTGTTTGGTATTTCGATTGCATGCACTTAATTTTGATATTTTAATATGTTCTACTTGCTAATATTAACCTAAGTATTATATATGGGCTTGATATGTAGCCGAGAGACCAAAAACTACTGGTGAAGCTATTGTGATCGACATCGACAGTAAACCATTTGATAGGTATAGCTCGTTTCAGTTTAATTTTATCCTTTCTTTTGAGCAGATTTTTTTTATTAAACAGATTTCATAGGAGATATTATCTCTACGAATTTCTATATTTATTTGTGTTTATCTGAATCTAAGAGATACTAGTGCTGAATGGTGGATGTTTTAGTTTGAAATTTCTGTATTTTCTTTATGCCATTGATAAATCATAACTTAGAGTTTGAACATTACAAGTTTTCTTGTTCATGCTGTTTTAAATGACACCTGATGCAACATTAATGTAGCTTCTGGCCTATTAACTACAAAAGATCTCAAATTGATTGTGCATTTTTAGTTAAACATTGCACACAGAATTTATTGGATACTTAAATGGCGTTAACTGCCTCAATCTTCGCCTTGTCATCACCTTCTTTGGCTATGTTCACAGAGGGAAATAAAAATTGACAATTTCTCCAAGGCTCATTTAATGTTTTAAATGAGAGTTTGTCATTCTAATTTTAGTTGAAATTCAGTATTTGCCCTTGTGTTTGAAGGGTTGAGGGCACAATTGAAGATCTTCCAAGCTTGTTCATATATTTTGTGCTCATTTAAGTTTGTTTACATAGTAATAGATTTCATAGGCTTATCTGAATTATAAGCTCTTCAAGCTCATTACTGAACTCCACATTCAAATCCAAATTCCCAAAGTGTTTCGCGGCCCTGCCTGGTTGCCTTCTTCTATATTAAGTGATAGTCTTATGGTTAATCTTATTAAGTCTCTATGATTAGCTGAGTTAACCTTTATGTTGATTTTGTGCATAACCTACCTCTGTTAGTTAAACAGTAATATCATATCAGCTAAGCTAATTGCATCATGTTCTTGAACTTTTCTTGGTGTCTTTGTACCTCTAGATTAACTTGACTCGTCTACTTGTGACATTATGTTGATCTTATAAATTGTTTCCCTGTAGCCCATGTTTTGTATTTGACCTGCTTACTTGGATGACTAGTTGATAAGTATGTTGTTGGTAACCTACATGTTCTGCACATTTAATGATTCATATAGCTATATGTTGTTCTTGAATCCTATTAAGCTTCTCCCTCCTTTTTCAGTTTTACATTAATTTTTATTTGAGAATATTAATAGGAGTAAATTGATTGCTGAAGTTTGACCACTGGTCATCAGGAGTACTTTCATTTTAAATGTCTTCTGTCCTCTGTAAATGGTGTTATTTCACAGGTTATGTTTTTTGCTTTTGAACTATCTTTTTAGTTTTGATATTGTGATGTTATCTTATGTCTTCCTTTTTAGCCATGCCAATTGATAAATCTTGGATCAGTAAACCACGAAACACACCTGAATATGTAGATGGTCTAAGACAATTTTTGGATTTTGCTTTTGAGCACGGGTTAGTTGGAAGCATCTTAATATATTTTCGTTTCAAATTAGTTTAGATTATAGCTATGTCCTTTTTTGTTCTTGACTTGCTTTATGTTCTTGCATCTAGTTACTTTCTTTCATTAATTAAGCTTTAAGTTATTTTTGTCTTGAAATTTAAACTGGTTTGGTATCAAGGTTTTCTTGTTTTGCTTTATATACCTTTATGTATGTAGAGATGCCGAAGCAAAATAGGGTTAAAAATCAATTCAAATCAGTCAAAGAGAGATCTTTACTTGTTCCTAGGCAGTCATCACAGGCTCAAGCTTCATCTTCAACATCTTATCGAGTCTCTGTACATTCTACACTGCCTACACAACCTACACAGCCTGTTATTCCAGGTGATGGAGTCTCTTCGCAGCACGGTGTTCCATCTTCATCATCTAATGGAGTCTCTTCGCAGCATGTTGTATCATCTTCATCATCTGATGGGGTATCTTCTCAGCCCGCCGTTCCATTTTCATCATCTGGTGCAGTCTCTTCACAACAAATTGGACGTAGTACTAGCAATGAAGAGCCTCATTGGTTTGTCGATGTTATAGGTACATATGAATTTCAAGTGATTGAGTATTCTTTCTGTTTTCCTCATTTAATATTTTAACATGACTTTATTTTATTGTAGATGAACGTCAAGTAATAAAAGCAATTAGATTGAAGGTTAAGGATGTCCATAACTTGGATAAAGGATTGCATATAATTGTAGAATTTGATGAATATCATGCAGCAATTGGGAAGTTGGCTGGCCTAATTGCTGGAGTTTTAGGGCAGCTTGCAACAAATCCTATGTATTTTCCTATTGGCTTTGAGAAATGGCCATCCATGCCCAAATCTTTTCTGGACCGTGTTTTTAATGATATAATAGTGGTAATGCCATCTAAATTATTTTGTTTAGTTTGTATCTTTTAGTTGTATATGTAAAACTGCAGTAAATTAACTTACTTTATATTTGTGAAGCCTCGGTTTTTCTTTAGGATTGATCAACAAAAGGCAAAGGCATGGCTTAACAGTTCCATTAACGAACCGTGGAGGGAGTACAGGCTTAAACTATGGAAGGAGGCTCAAGATCCTTTATTAAGTAAACAAGATATCATCAAGAACGTTCCGGATGGCATACCGATGGACCAATGGGCACTTTATGTTACTTATCGGATGAAAGAGGAGGCAAAGGTACTTTCTTCTGCTATTGCTACTTCTGCTTCTTCTGTTTCTGTTGCTTCTTTTGCTACTGCTTCTCCTACTTCATCTGCTACTGTTGCCTTTTCTTCTTCTGCTTCTTATTTTGCTTCTGCTTCTTCTGTTTCTGTTGCTTCTTTTGCTACTGCTTCTCCTACTTCATCTGCTACTGTTGCCTTTTCTTCTTCTGCTTCTTATTTTGCTTCTTCTTCTGCTATTGCTATTTATGCTTCTTCTTTTGCTTCTGCTTCTTCTGCTATTGCTATTTATGCTTCTTCTTTTGCTTCTGCTTCTTCTGCTATTGTTGCTATTGCTATCTGCTTCTTTAGGCATAGATGCTTCTTTTGCTACTGCTATTTCTGCTTCTTCTTTTGCTTCTGCTGCTTCTTCTTTTGCTTCTTTTGCTTCTTATTTTGCTTCTGTTGCTTCTTATTTTGCTTCTGCTTCTTCTGCTATTGTTGCTACTGCTATATCTGCTTCTTTAGGCATAAAATCGTACAAGCCCGTATCCAAATTGTACAACGTCACTCTTCTTACTACATATAACTGTTCTAATATTAATGAAGATTATCATACATTAAGGGCTCATTTGAATCAACATGTGAATGAACTGCTTTTCTACATCCATCCAAATTAATTTAACTAATTCACTTAACCATTAGGTCTGGTTAAAATTTTCACTCCTCTGTTCAGTTATCTCATTTTTCTCCCTTTGAATTGCTTCCAATTGTGCCATCAATACCTTCTCCTTGTTCTCCGGTTATCTATCCTTGAGATCCTCCTCCTCTTTAGTTGAAGTTTCCAACAATGACTTAGTTTTCTCAATTTCAGCCAAGAAACTTTGACAACCGGTTATTCTCTGAGAGTAATCTCTCCAGCTATACATGATGGTTGGGAAGTCAAACTTAAGTTCCAATATTTGCTTGGCTTCTTCATCCGCAAATAATGATAGGTTGCCAGCAAGTATGGCCTGATTGAGTAGGCTCTATGTCATTCACGGAGATCAATTGATCCTGATTGAGTCGATGGAGCGAAGCATAATCAGTAAAGTGACCCTGATGACAGAAAGAGATCAACAAATAAATAATATCCATTTCTGTAGTTAGACAAAAGAGAACCAACTCATAGTCTAATTTATTGTTGCTACTGCTATCTGCTTCTTCTGATGCTGCTTCTGCTTCTTCTGTTTCTGCTGCTTCTTCTGTTTCTGCTGCTTCTTCGCTACTACTTCTCCTGCTTCTGCTTTTGCTTATTTTGGTCTTATATAATGGAATTTCACCTATTTAATTTGTAGGAGCATTGCAAGAAGAATGCACAGATTCGAAAAAACCAGCTTCCTCATACTTGTGGTGCTATGAGTTCTGCTAGAAGAAGGGCTGCAATGGTAGTTTACACGCTTAAATTAGATAAGATATATGTTCTCAATTAATTACTAACATTATTCATTTTAAAAATTTCAGAAGGCGATGGGAAAAGCTTTTGATCGAGGCAAAATGTGGACTGAGACTCATAAAAGGAAAGATGGGAGTTATGTAACTGATGAGGCTAGGGTGATTGGGGTAAGTAACATTTTTGGTGCCTTCAGCTGTGAAATTATATTTTATTTTCAGATTGGTACTGCTTGTCCAGTGGGTTTCCACAACTTTTTGCACTAGCATTTTGATAGTCTGAGATGCATGACAGGCTGTTGGTGACAATTTGTAGTGTTACTCGTGCCTTCTCTTATCATGATTTGTATGGACTATACTGTTTTTTGTGTGGACTATACTTACATTGGTTTTGAAAAGATCTAGTGACTCCTGTACATTAGAGTTCCAGTAACCTGGTTGTGTTTCAACCAGCAAACATTTGAAGAACTGTTCAAAAGCCAATACTTTGCTTAACTATCAGAAGTTGAATGTTGGAAATAATAATCAGGTTTTTGAGTCGCACAGAACCAGCAGCCAAGCATTACCATTGTCTCAATAAGCATTAATAGAAAAGAAATTACTCTGAACTAGTATAACAGAAGTAGCTTTTATACACAAGCTCAAATGTTGTTTTCTTTGCAATCAACTGCTCATCAGAATAGTTTTAACAAATCTGTTATAAAGCAGATTAGTGTTGTTATGTTAGCAAATTAGCGTTAAATGAGATCTGCTGCTTCTATGGAAATTTTGGCTAGACCATATGGTGTAATTTGCATTTCATTTTGGGATGTGGTGTTATGGATCTGTTGATGGTTTGATTCATGTTTTCGCTAGCAGTTTAATGTACAGTTTTTGTCATTTCCAAGTTCCAAGCAATTTCATATTGCTCAGTTTATGCTTCTTCAAATTTTGTAGGAAAGAATTGAAGAAATTCGAAGTGATAGAGCAGAAAGTCTTGATGAACCTTCACCAAATGATGCACTTGGCATAGTATTTGGTCGCGAGCACCCCGTCCGTGTTCGAGGTTTAGGCTTGGGTGTAGTTCCAACTGTAGCATTCAAACAGACATCTATGAGATATCATCGTAGTTATGTGGGTTCATCTAGCACTACCGCTCCAACTCTGGAGTGGCAGCAAGAGATGATAGATGTGAAATCAAAATTAAATGCATTGATTAGCTTATATGAAAGGAACATAGGGAATATCCTCGAGGAGTTTGCTCACTTATTATCCACTCCTCCACAGGTATAAGTTCTCTTATTGCCACGACCCCAGTTTGTCCTTCGTGAATTGTCGTGATGGCATCTAGTCTCTATGACTAGATTAGCCTAACAAGTGCGGAAAACAAACTAAATTTGCGGAATAAACAATCAAAAGCTGAAAACAACTGAAGGAAATAATATTTAAATGCTGCGTAGCATATACACATAACTTCTCAAAATCGGATACACTATCCCAAAACCTGGAAACTCACGAATCCACAAGTTGAGAGAAACACTACATAGCTCTAATTCTGGAATGTCTAATAAGAACATGAAAGTATAGAAGGGCTAAATACTAAAAGCAGGAATAGAAAGGGACTACTCGGTCTGCGGATGCGGTAGATGTACTTCGAAGTCTCTAGAGCAGTCGTCTCAAGGATGATAGGCCTGAGTAGCGGTATCTGAATCTGCACATGAAAATTACGCGCAGAAGGGGCATGAGTACACTACCGCAGTACTCAGTAAGTGCCAAGCCTAACCTCGGTTGGGTAGTGACGAGGAAGGTCAGGGCCCTACTGAGGTTAAATAAAATATAAAGATCAACAGTATAAAATAGAATAGTATAAATAAGTACGGTAGTAAAATAACATAGGATGTATAGAACATCAATAACTATACAGAAACAAGGTAAACATGGAAAGGAAATACAACTTAGCACCAATAATAACAATCAGGGATCTCCCAGGATATCGTCCTGTAGTCTCATATGTACATATCCAGTGGATCTCCTGGGATCCCGTCCCGTAGTCCAACTTATAGTGCGCGGGGGTCTACCGGAATCCCGTTCCGTAGTCCCAAATGTAAATACCCAGTACTGGGGGAATCTACCAGGTGCATTCCCGTAGTTCCATATAACTGTGCAGGGAGATCTACCGGGAATCTAACCCATAGTCCCAAAGTAAATGTGCAGGGGATCTACCGGGAATCTTACCCGTAGTCCCAAAGTAAACAGACAAGGGGGAGCTACCGGAATCCTACATCCGTAGTCCCAAAAGTAAAGACACAACAGCATCAGGAAAATATACAGAAATGACAAAATTTCATATTAAGGCAATAAGTGATTCTAGCCTAGCATGCTGCACATAATTCAAGTAAGGCAGGTTGAATCAAATAAAATAATTAAGTCACTTAGACATGCTTTCCTAAGCTAACAACATGCTTAATAGTGCAAGTAATAGAAACAGGAAAGGAAACATACTAGTAATTACTTAAAGAAAAACCGGATTTCCAACAATTAGCACAAGTACGCATTCGTCACCTCACGTACAAGGCATTTCAATTACCAAATATACCAATCCTAAGGGGAAGGTTCCCCACACAAGGTTAAACAAGCCACTTACCTCGAATCGGCTAAAAAATCAATCTAAAACCACGCTCTTGCCACGAGTACTCGACTCCAAATGACCCAAATCTATTCAATTCAATTTCATAATATAAATAACGCTTCAAGTAACTGATTCTACAATTAAATTCTAAGCTAATACGCGAAATTAGGTAAAATGACCAAAATGCCCCTCGGGCCCATGTCTCGGAATCAGGTGAAATTTATATTTTTAGAAAACCCGTACTCTCACGAGTCTATACATAACAAGAACACTGAAATCGGAGTCCAAATGACCCCTCAAATCCTTATTCAAAGGTCTCTTAAACTCAAGCTCTAATTACCTATTTTCTCCAAAATTTTCACCACTAATTAGGTCTTTAATCACATGAAAACGAGTTATGAAGTCAAGGATGTTACCTCCAAGCGATTCCCCTTTGTTTTCCTCAAAAATCTCTCTCAAAAGCTCCAAACCCGGATGAAAATGGTGAAAGAATAGGTCAAAATCGCAAAGACAACTATTTATATGTTCTGCCCAGCGATTCCAGCATTTGCGGCCCTTGGACCGCATCTGCGGTCCTGCTTTTGCAGACAAAAGGTCGCACGTGCGACTTTCACTTAAAGACCTAATTCTCTCATCTGCGGAACATTAACCGCAGGAGTGGTTCCGCTTCTGCGAACTTTTCACCGCATCTGCGCTTCCTGAGAAAATGGCCAAATCCCGCTTCTGCAGTCACCTAGCCGCATTTGCGGCGCCGCAGGTGCGGTTATGACAGAACCAACAGCTGAAGCTGCAACTTAAATTCAAAAATCTTCCCGTCAACCATCCGGAATCATCCCGAGGCCTCAACCAAAGGCACCAACAAGTCACAAACCACAAACCACTATCCAAACTTGTACCAATCCTTAAAACGCCTAAAACAACATCGAAACCTCGAATTAACCATGGATTTAAGCCTAAGAACTCCAAATTTCTCAAAATACGCTTTCAATCAAAAAGTCTATCAAACCTCGTCCGAATGACCTGAAATTTTGCACACACGTCACATTCAACGCTACGGAACTACTCCAACTTTCAGAATTCCATTTCGACCCTCAGATCAAAATCTCACTATCGAGCTGGAAACTTCAATAATTTAACTTCCGGCATTTCAATCCTAAATTAGCTACGGACCTCCAAAACACAATCCGGACACGCTCCTAACCCCGAAATCACCCAACGGAGCTAACGGAACCATCGAATTTCCATTCCGAGGCCATCTTCACACTGTTCCGACTACGGTCAACTTTCCAACATTAAGCTCTCATTTAGGGACTAAGTGTCCCAAAAACTCTCCAAAACTCAAAACCGAACATCCCGACAAATTAAAATAGTAGAAATAAACTTGGGGAAAGCAGTTAATAGGGGATCGTGATCTTACTTCTTAAGACGACCGGCCAGGTCGTCACATCCTCCTACACTTAAACATTCATTCGTCATCGAACGAGCATAAAGACATACCTGAAGTTGTGAAAAGATGAGGGTAACGACTGCTCATATCCTGCTCGGTCTCCCAGGTTGCCTCCTCGAGCGGCTGACCCTGTCATTGAACCTTCACTGATGCAATGTTCTTTGACCTCAGTTTTCTGACCCACCTGTCTAATATTGCCACTGGCTCCTCAACATAGGATAGAACCTTGTCCAACTGGACTGAACTGAAATCCAACACGTGCGACGGATCACTGTGATACCTTCGAAGCATCGAAACATGAAATACCGGGTGAATTCCTGCCAAGCTGGGAGGTAAGGCAAGTTCATAAGCAACCTCCCAAATCCACCTCAATATCTCAAAATGGCCAATAAATCTCGGACTCAACTTCCCTTTCTTCCCAAATCTCATAACGCCCTTCATAGGCGAAACCCGAAGCAGAACCCGCTCTCCAATCATATAGTAAACATCACGAACCTTCCGGTCCGCGTAACTCTTCTTCTGGACTGGGATGTGCAAAGTCTATCCTGAATTACCTTAACCTTCTCCAAAGTATCCTGAACCAGGTCTATGTCCAACAATCTGGCCTCACCTGGCTCAAACCAACCTACCGGGGATCTACACCATCTCTTATATAAAGCCTCATATGGTGCCATCCAAATGCTGGACTGATAGCTATTATTGTAAGCAAACTTTGCCAATGGCAAAAACTGATCCCAAAACCCTCCAAACTCAATCACACACGCACGAAGCATATCCTCAGGAATCTAAATAGTGCGCTCGGACTGTCCGTCCGTCTGAAGGTGAAATGCTGTATTCAACTCCACCCGAGTATCCAACTCATGTTAAACAGCCCTCCAGAACCGTGATGTAAACTGAGTACCCATATCTGAGATGATGGACACTGGAATACCATGCAAACGAACAATCTTCCAGATATAAATCTCCGCCAACCGCTCCGAAGAATAAGTAGTACACATAGGAATAAAATGAGCGGACTTGGTTAGCCTATCCACAATCACCTAAATAGCATCGAACTTTCTCAAAGTCCGTGGTAGCCCAACTACAAAGTCCATGGTGATCCGCGCCCACTTCCATTTTGGAATCTCTATCTGCTGAAGCAACCCACCCGGTCTCTGGTGCTCATACTTCACCTACTGACAGTTGAGGTAGCGAGCTACAAACTATATCCTTCTTCATCCGCCTCCACCAGTAGTGCTACCTTAAATCTTGATACATCTTCGCGGCACCCGGATGAATGGAATACCGCGAGATATAGGCCTCCTCCAGAATCAACTCCCGAAGCCTATCAACATTGGGTACACAAATCCGACCCTGCATCCTCAATACCCCATCATCACCAATAGTCACATCTCTGGCATCACCGTGCCGAACCTTTTCCTTGAGGACAAGTAAATGAGGGTCATCATACTGCTGCTCCCTGATACGATCAAATAAAGACGACCGAGAAACCACGCAAGCTAGAACCTGATTGGGCTCCGAAAGATTCAATCTCACAAACTGGTTGGCTAAGGCCTGAACATTCATCACCATAGGCCTCTCCGATGCTGGTAAATAAGCCAAACTCCCCAAACTCTCTTCCCGACGACTCAAAGCATTGGCCACCACATTGCCCTTACCCAGGTGATACAAAATAGTGATATCATAGTCCTTTAGCAACTCTAACCACCTCCTATGGCGCAAATTTAGATCCTTTTGCTTGAATAGGTGCTGCAAGCTTCGATGATCAGTATAAATCTCACAGGGAACACCGTATAAGTAATGGCACCAAATTTTCAGGGCGTGAACAATGGCAACTAACTCAAGGTCGTGAATAGGGTAGTTCTTTTCATGTATCTTCAACTGTCTGGACGCGTAGGCAATCACCCTATTGTCTTGCATCAACATCGCTCCCAGACCAACCATCGAGGCATCATAATAGATCATATAAGATCCCAAAACCTGTAGGCAGTATCAAATTTGGGGCTGTGGTCAAAGTTGTCTTGAGCTTCTGAAAGCTTGCCTCACACTCCTCCATCCACTAGAACGGAGCACCCTTCTGGGTCAACCTGGTCATAGGGGTTGCAATCGATGAAAACCCCCCACAAAACGACGGTAGTAGCCCTCTAGACCAAGGAAATTGCGGATCTCGGTAGCTGAGGATGGTCTGAGCCAACTCTGCACGGCCTCTATCTTCTTCGGATCCACCTGAATACCCTTACTCGATACCACATGGCCTAAGAATGCCACTGAATCCAACCAAAACTCATATTTTAAGAACTTAGCATGTAACTTCTTCTCTCTCAAAGTCTGAAGCACAGTCCTCAGGTGCTGCTCATGATCTTCCCAACTTTGGGAATACACCAGAATATCATCAATAAAGATAATGATAAACGAGTCAAGATACAGCCGGAACACACTGTGCATCAAATGCATAAAGGCTGCTGGGGCATTGGTCAGCCCAAATGACATGACAAACAACTCGCAATGATCATATCGAGTCCTGAAAGCAGTCTTCGAGATATCTGGCTCCCGAATATTCAACTGATGGTAACCTGAGCGCAAATCAATCTTAGAAAACACCCGTGCGCCCTGAAGCTGGTCAAACAAGTCATCAATACGAGGCAAATGATAACGGTTCTTCACTGTAACCTTGTTCAACTAGCGATAATCAATATACATATGCATAGAACCATCCTTTTTCTTCACAAACAAGATAGGAGCACCCCAAGGTGATACACTGGGCCGGATAAAACCCTTATCAAGCAATTCCTGTAACTTATCTTTAACTCCTTCAACTCAGGAGGAGCCATACGATATGGAGGAATAGAAATGGGCTTAGTGTCCGGCAACAGATCAATGCTAAAATCAATATCTCTATCAAGTGGCATGCTTGGGAGATCAGCTGAAAACACATCGGGAAAATCCCGTACTACTGGAACTAAATCAACTGAAGGGGTATCAATACTGATATCTCTCAAATAAGCTAAATATGCGTCATACCTCTTCTCAACCATACGCTCAGCTTTAAGAAAAGAAATAACTCTACTAGGAGTGTGATCTAATGTACCTCTCCTCTCAACACGTGGTACACCTAGCATAGCCAACGTCATGATTTTGGCGTGACAATCAAGAATAGCATAATGGGGCGACAACCAGTCCATGACCAAGATAATATCAAAGTCAACCATGCTGAGTAACAATAAATCGGCTCTAGTCTCAAAACCACTAAGAGCAACCAAACATGACCGATAAATGTGGTCCACAATAAGAGAATCTCCCACAGGAGTAGAAACATAAACATGGGAACTCAAAGAATCCCAAGATACACCCAAATGTGGAGCAAACTAAGAAGATACATAAGAACAAGTGGAGCCTGGATCGAATAGAATTGATGCATATCTGTGGCAAACCAATATAATACATGTGATGACAAAATCGGAGGCAACAACCTCGGTACGGGCAAGAAGGGCATAGTATCTGGCCTGGCCTCCCCCTCTAGGGCAACCTCTACCTTTCGGACCTCCACCTCTAGCTAGCTAAGCAGGTAGGGTAGCAACTGGAACTGTAACCAAAGCCTGAAAACTTTGTGGGGCATGCTGTGGCTGAGAAGTCTGTGGAGGTGCACCCCTCCCAAATCTGGGACAATCCCTCACCATATGACGTGTGTCACCACACCCAAAACAAGCTCTGGGAGTACGTGGTGGCTGTGACTGGCTAGGGCTAGGTCTGCTGGACTGACCTCTGAAAGCACCCCGGGCAGGAGGCGCGCTAGAAACCGGAGGTGCATAATAAGGCTCCTGAGGCCTAGGAGGAGCTAGAGCACTACTGACTGTTGGAAGAGCTGAATGAACAGGGTGACTCATATAACCCCTACCATAATGACCTGCAGCTGGGGTACGGGCACCAGAATAATGGCCCGACTCTCGAGACCTCTTGGCCTCCCTCTCCTCTCTCTCCCGAGCATGTATACCCTCAATCTTCCTAGCAATTCTCACCACCCGCTGATAAGAAATATCCATCTCCAACTCATGAGACATGCTAGATCTGATGCTGGGAATAAGGCCCTTAATAAGCCGGCAAACCTTCTCACGAATAGTAGAAACCAAGGCTGGTGCATGCCTAGCCAAACTGGTGTAACAGATAGCATACTCTAAAACAGTCATAACATCCTGGTGCAAATGCTCAAACTCTGCACGCCATGCATCCCTAAGGGTCTGAGGAACATACTCCCTCAGGAACAGATCTGAAAACTAAGTCCAAGTCAGTGAAGCAGCCTTATTTGGATTGTCTAACTCATAGGTGCGCCACCACTAATAGGCGGCTCCTCGAAGCTGGAAAGTAGTGAAAGAAACCTCGCTCAATCCTGAGATACCTATGGTATGGAGAATGCGGTAACACTCATAAAGAAATCCCAGAGCATCCTCCGATTCTAGACCACTGAATATAGGAGGCTTGTACTTCTTGAACCTCTCAAGCCTCAACTGCTCATCCTCGGAAGCCGCTGCCCTATCCTCGGGTTGAACCAGCATTGCAAGCGGTACAGGAATAATCTCAGGGACCTGCTCAACATGCACTCGCTGCTCAGGAGTGCGGGCGGCAGGAGTCTGTGATCCTCCCCCATCCTGAGACGTAGCTGCAGCAAGGGGAACCAACCCTGCCTGACCCAAAGTGGTGTACATACTCATGAACTGTGCCAAAGTCTCCTGAAGAGCTGGAGTAGTAGTAGCAGTAGGCGTGTCAGGTGCTTAGACTCTGGCTGGATCCACTGGTGATACCTCGACGGCAGCTCGCGCAAGTGCCCTGGCTGCACCATGTGCGCGTCCTCGGCCTCTACCTCGGGCCCGACCTCTAACAGCTGTAGTAGGGGGCACAGGTGCCTGATCATCTCGTGTAGCACGTTTCCTCACCATCTGTGAGAGAATAAAAGACAAAAGTTTAGAATTGTGATGTCAAAATATCGCACGACAAGGAAATCAAATGAAGTGGATTTTTCCTAACAATTATGTAGTCTCTCGTAGATAAGTACAGACGTCTCTGTACCGATCAACAAGACTCTATTAAACCGGCTTGTGATCCATGACTCCTATGAACCTAGAGCTCTAATACCAACTTGTCACGACCCTAGTTCGCCCTCCGTGAACGGTCGTGACGACACCTAGTCTCTATGACTAGGTAAGCCTAACAAGTGCGGAAAACAAACTAAACTTGCGGAATAAACAATCAAAAGCTGAAAACAACTGAAGGAAACAATATTTAAATGCCGCTCGACATATACACATAACTTCTCAAAATCTGATACACTATCCCAAAACTCAAAAATTCACAGATCCACAAGCTGAGAAAACACTACATAGCTCTAACTCTGGAATGTCTAATAAAAACATGAAAGTACAGAAGGGCTAAATACTAAAAGCAGGAATAGAAAGGGACTTCTTAGTCTGCAGACATGGCAAATGTACCTCGAAGTCTCTAGAGCAGTCGCCTCCTCAAGGATAATAGGCCTAAGTAGCGATACCTGGATATGCACATAAAAAACATGCACAAAAGGGGCATAAGTACACCACAACGGTACTTAGTAAGCGCCAAGCCTAACCTCGGTTGGGTAGTGACGAGGAATGTCAGGGCCCTACTGAGGTTAAATAAAATATAAAGATCAACAATATAGAACAGAACAATATAAATAAGTACGGTAGTAAAATAACATAGGATGTACAAGTCATCGATAATTATACAGAAACAAGGTAAATATGGAAAGGAAATACAACTCAGTAATAGCAATCGGGGATCTCCCAGGATACCGTCCTGTAGTCCCATATGTACATATCCAGTGGATCTCCTGAGATCCCGTCCCGTAGTCCAACTTATAGTGCGTGGGGATCTACCGGAATCCCGTTCCGTAGTCCCAAATGTAAATACCCAGTACTGGGGGAATCTACCAGGTGCATTCCCATAGTTCCATATAACTGTGTAGAGGGATCTACAAGGAATCTAACCCGTAGTCCCAAAGTAAATATGCAGGGGGATCTACGGGAATCTTACCCGTAGTCCCAAAGTAAACAGACAAGGGGGAGCTACTGGAATCCCACATCCGTAGTCCCAAAAGTATAGACACAGCAGCAGCAGGAAGATATACAGAAATGATAAAATTTCATAATAAGGCAATACGTGATTCTAGCCTAGCATACTGCACAAAATTCAAGTAAGGCAGGTTGAATTAAATAAAGCAATTAAGTCACTTAGACATACTTTCCTAAGCTAACAGCAGACTTAATAGTGCAAGTAATAGAAACAGGAAAGGAAACATACTAGTAATTACTTAAAGAAAAACTGGATTTCCAATAATTAGCACAAGTACGCACTCATCACCTCACGTATAAGGCATTTCAATTACCAAATATACCAATCCTAAGGGGAAGGTTCCCCACACAAGGTTAGACAAGCCACTTACCTCGAACCGGCTCAAAAATTAATCTGAAACCATGCTCTTTCCACGAGTACTCGACTCTAAATGGCCCAAATCTATTCAATTCAATTTCATAATATAAATAACACTTCAAGTAACTGATTTTACAATTAAATTCTAAGCTAATATGCGAAATTAGGGAAAATTCCCAAAACACCCCTCGGTCCCACATCTCGAAATCGGTGTGAAATTTACATTTTTAGAAACCTCGTACTCTCACGAGTCTATACATAACAAGAACACTGAAATCGGAGTCCAAATGACCCTTCTAATCCTCATTTAAAAGTCTCTTAAACTCAAGCCCTAATTACCCATTTTCCCCAAATGTTTCACTACTAATTAGGTCTTTAATCACATGAAAACAAGTTATGAAGTCAAGGATGTTACCTCCACGCGATTCCCCTTTGTTTTCCTCAAAAATCTCTCTTAAAAGCTCCAAACCCGGATGAAAATGATGAAAGAATAGCTCAAAATCGCAAAGGCAACTATTTATATGTTCTCCCCAGCGATTCCAGCATTTGCGGCCACTTTTGCGGACAAAAGGTCTCACCTACGACTTCCACTTAAAGACCCAATTCTCGCATCTGCGGAACATTAACCGCAGGAGCGGTTCTGCTTCTGCGAACTTTTCACCGCATCTGCGGTTCTTGAGAAAATGGCCAAATCCCGTTTCTGCGGTCACCTAGCCGCATCTGCGGTACCGCACTTGCGGAACTCCAACTGCAGGTGCGGTTATGACAGAACCAGCAACTGAAGCTGCAACTTAAATTCAAAAATCTTCCCGTCAACCATCCGGAATCATCCCGAGGCCTCTAGGACCTCAACCAAAGGCACCAACAAGTCACAAACCACTATCTAAACTTGTACCAATCCTTAAAACGCCTAAAACAACATCGAAACCTCGAATTAACCATGGATTTAAGCCTAAGAACTCCAAATTTCTCAAAATACGCTTTCGATCAAAAAGTCTATCATACCTCGTCCGAATGACCTGAAATTTTGCACACACGTCACATTCAACACTACGAAACTACTCCAACTTTCAAAATTCCATTTCGACCCTCGGATCAAAATCTCACTATCGGGCTGGAAACTTCAATAATTTAACTTCCGGCATTTCAATCCTAAATTAGCTACGGACCTCCAAAACACAATCCGGACGCGCTCCTAACCCCGAAATCACCCAACAGAGCTAACAGAACCATCAGATTTCTATTTCGAGGCCGTCTTCTCACTGTTCCGACTACGGTCAACTTTCCAACACTTAAACTCTCATTTAGGGACTAAGTATCCCAAAACTCGCCGAAACTCAAAATCGAACATCCCGGCAAATTAAAATAGTAGAAATAAACTTGGGAAAAGCAGTTAATAGAGGATCGGGGCATCAATTCTTAAGACGATCGACCGGATCGTCACACTTACTACAGTAAAATTTTAGTTATTTGCTTTTCTTATTGTTCCTTTTTAACATAAAGTGGTTTCCTAAGCCGTGTAGTTACCTTTTTGGTGATTAAACTTATTGATTTCAATGTGATTTCTGTATATCCAGTCCTACTACTTCAGCTCACATGTTAAAATTTTAGTTATTTCCTTATTGCCTGTATTTTTTTCCCTTTTTTTCAGGCACCAGATTTAGGAAGTGATGCACCATCAACAGTTGAACCAAGAAGATTTTTAGATGAAAGTAACAATGATAATCGTCCAAGTGTGAGTTAGTGATTATTCTATAGGATCAACTATGAATCTTTTGGATATTACTGTGGAAATACACTTTGAAGCATTAATATTTGGATGATGTAATTTTGTTATACTTGTGTACGTGTGAATTTGTGATTATTTTGTAGGATGGACAATGAATCTTCTGGATATTTTTGTTGAAATACTTTGAAGCATTAATATTTCGATGATGTAATTTTGGTATACTTTTGTTTTATATAATGAATATTTTTATTATTTAATCTTCTATATTGGGTTTAATGAATATGAAGTGCTACAAAAGTTTCAAAGCATAACATTCAATAAATAGGATTCTAAATGTGAAAAAATAGGATTGTGAAGCAGAGAAAATTAAAATTACAACTGTTTAAACTACCTTAATATTGAAAAAAGCCACAATTGAAACGGTTAAAATACAACGGTTTTCACATGTAATTACGGCGGTTTGCCCAAAACCACCGTAATATAATTTTGGCTGACGAGATTGTGGCGCTTTCAAAAGCCGTTGTTAATGTGTATTAGGCGGTTCCAAACTGCCATTATATGCTAAAATAACCGCCGTAATAACCCTATTTTCTTGTAGTGTATTCAGGAGACAAAAAATATTTTAAACAGAAAGTTCAAAGTGAAGGATCTTGGAGAATTGACATATTTTCTAGGGATAGAAGTCATGAGATCCAATCAAGGGATCTTGTTGAACCAGAGGAAATACACACTTCAACTGGTGTCTAATCTAGGTCTGGGATCAATAAAGCCAACAACTACTCCACTTGATATGAATCAAAAGTTTACCTCAGCTAAGTTTGATAGACATGTTGGAATAGTTGGAGATGAGATGTTGGCAGATACCTCAGCCTATCAAAGGTTGATTGGAAGGTTGATATACCTAACAATCACTAGGCCAGATATCATATTTGTTGTGCAGACATTAAGTCAATTCATGCAATCACCTAAGCAGTCCCACTAGGAAGCCACAGTAAGGGTAGTGAAATACATCAAACAGAATCCAGGAATGGGAATTCTGATAAGTAGCAGGCATGTAGATAGTTTGGTTTGTTACTGTGATGCAGGCTAGGCATCATGCCCTAACACTAGAAGATCAGTGACTGGGTTTGTGGTTAAGTTTGGAGACTCATTGGTGTCTTGGAAGTCAAAGAAGCAACAAACAGTTTCTTGAAGCTCAACAGAAGCAGAATATAGAAGCTTAGCAACATCTACTGCAGAAATAGTATGGTTACTAGGATAGTTTGCAGAGCTTAATGTATCTATCAGACAATCAGTGGATATAATGTGTGATAGCAAAGCTGCTTTACAAATTGCAGCTAATCCCATATTTCATGAAATGACCAAGCCTATCGAAATAAATTGTCATTTTGTTAGGGATAAGATCAAAGAAGGGAGGATCAAGACACACCATATTGGAACTAAGGACCAACAGGCAGGCAATACAGCATGAACATCTACTGAGCAAGCCAGGAGTGCTCAACATCTTACACCCTCCAGCTTGAGGGGGAGTGTGAGAATGAAGGAGTCGACTGTGTAGTGTTGACTAATGAGCCAGTTGTCAAGTTAGCTAGGACAGTTAGCAAAGTTAGTGCTGGCAGAAGTTAGTTGATGTTGTTAGAGTTAGTTGCCAATAATTAGTGGTTTTAGCTTAATTAAGTAGAAGTTAGTTGTGTCTATAAATACAGGGTTGTATATGTTATTGTATATACACAACAAAAATACACAGAAAGTTTCCTACTTTATTTCTCTCTCCTCCTTCTTCTTCTTCTCTCTTACAAGATACTGTTACATTCCTCCATTAGTGGAGTTCATGACCTAGCTCAATTGAAGCTCAACTCACAATAGTTGAGCTCCGTAGAACTCCGCCAGAGAAGATGGCCGACGGTGACTTCTTTGTTGCCGAGGGAGAAAAGAAAGGGAAAATGAGAGAGTTGAGGGAGAAGAGAAAAATAGGACTGAGATAAAAGATTATACAGTGGAATAATTCTGTGTATTTGGTATTAGCTATTGTCACACCTCCTTTTTCCTACCTCCCGGAAGGGTATAAGGGAGTTTTTTCCAATTTAAGTGACAATCGAAATAGAATTATTTTTATTTAAAATTCAAAGTCGTCACTTGGGATAATTTATGGTGTACCAAGTCGCCAGTTTAAAATTCTGAATCGAGGAAGTTTGACTCTGTTTTACAGTCCGCGAACACAGAAATCCGGCAAGAAATTCTGTTAACTCGGGATAAGGTGTTAGGCATTTTCGGGTCCCGTGGTTCTAGCACGATCGCTCAACTATTATCATTGGCCTACTTATCTGATTTTATAACACTTTAAAACTATGTGCCTCTTTAACTTTAACCACTTTTATTTATTTAAGGAATTATTTCAAGATTATTTAAAACACATCGCAAACCACGCTACATGAAATGCACCCGTGATTCACGACACATTCTATTTAACCGTGTTGAAATTAGAACTGGGTCACATGAAATGTACCCCCAAATTTTAGAAATTAAGTGTCACAACCACGTCATGGGATCCGTACCCGTAGCTATGATAATTTTATTAATTAGCGCGCCTAAAGCAACTACAAACATTCGAGACGTTTTTACATTAGTTAAGATAACGATGTGAGGGCCATAGACTAGGTGATTGTATGACACACCTCAATTTTATTAAAGGAAATGCATTCAACTACGAATATTCATATTTAAAGCTAATTTGAAATTAAGTATCACAACTACGTCACGGAAACCGTACCCATAGTCATGATAAATGTTTAATAGCGCCTATAGCAAGCTACGATGTTTATGAACATTAACGGCCTAAGTATGCTACTATCGATCCAAACAAATAAAGTAGAATAATTAACATGATAAATTCAATGTTCATTCTTGTTTTTAGTTTTACCAGAAAAATACCATAACATATTTAAAATATGATAATGACACTTTAATTCAATTCTGTGTGTAAATACCCCACAACTTCATACAAATTAACAACAAACAACTATTCACACTCTAAGAGATAAGACAAATTCAGCCTTTAAACCAAAGTTTGCAGCTCTAATGAACATGATTACAGAAATTTTAAACAGAACTCAAATAAGCCAATATCATGCTTGATGTTATCACACAATCAGAAACCAAAATCAAAGAAAAACTTGAATAATAAACCAATGCTATATTTCAATCAATTTCAACTAACAAGATTCCTTTTCCCTGATAATGACCTCAAACCTACTTAAGTGAAACAAACAAATACATGTTGATAAGATATTCTGACTAAACTCATTACCATGTTAAGTAATTTTGTTCTCCAACATATTTATAACATTTTTCTTATAACTGAAAATTAACAATTAAAACAATGACTACCCAAACACACATGGAACAGTTTGAATAAATGGTCAAGAGGGTGGTAAACCTGATAACCATGTTGAGACCATTCAAAGAAAAGCAAATGGAGGCAAAATCAAACCCAGAATCACGAAGTTGTTGAAGTATTTGTCACAACACCAAATTAACAACGCAAACAATAGAAGAGAGGAGAAGAATGAATCTCAGCAATTACAGCAACTATATCGAGAAAAAAATGAGCAGTGAATAAATTTCAAACAAAATATTCGACGAACCTCCGAACAAGAGCAGCAGGACCTTGACCGAAACACTCGAACAATGAGCGTCAACCATGATGAAATCGACTCAAATAGGCCCCATTTGGTAACAAACATCTGAGATTAGAAGTGAAGAAATTAGCACTGTTTTTGTTGTGCTCGTCACCTTTGCTCTGCCACTCTTAGTTCTGATTTTTTTTAATTTTCTGATTGTGTATGTGTGTGTAGTGAGTCTGGGCGGCTGGAATTTGCTTTCTCTTAGGGTGGTGGATAGCGACGGCCAGGTGTGGAGGAGATAGAGTGGTCTGCGGCTGAAATTTTTAGGGGGTTCAGAAGCAGTGGCGGCTATGAAGGGATTCTTCAGTTTTGGGTGTTCTTGTCGCTGATGGAGAAGGGGGAAGGACTCAGATTTTTTATCCGTCTCTAGGGTCTTCAACGTATGTGTCATTCCATTTTTTGGCCGAGGTCTTCAGGTCTGTGGCTGATTGTAGAGATTGTCAGGATCTAGGTCTTTTAGGTTATAATTTGGTTTATATTTGATAGGTGAAAGGATTGTGACCATTGGATTAAAATGGATCGATGGTTGAGATTAAAATGGTGTATTTGGGTGGGTCAGCTGGGTTGATGGGTTATTTGGGCTAAGGAGAATTGGGTTGGTCCAAATTGGATCCTAAAATTGGGCTCCAAGACTCTTAATATTGTGGTCTAGCACCTTAGTTAACTCCATTTATTAAAAGATAAAAATACTACACAATGCAAAAACTAATTTTAATTAATTAAACTAAACTATATTAAAACATGAAACTATTATATATTTTTTTTTGTATTTTTCAAGATTATATAAAGATAAAAATAAGGTACTATTTTTGTATTTATTTATTTAAATTTATGGAAGATACGTAAACTAAAATATTTTTGTTATTTTCATTTTTTTGTAATGAAATAAAGTAAAAGAGTCAAAATTAGTTGAAATAAAGATATTAGGCCTAAACTAAATATTTTACGCTAAAATGCGTGAAATTTCGGGGAGGGTCAAAAATCATATGTCTATAACTGCCCCTCTTTCACTGGAAACACGAAGTATTTTCAGACAAAGAATGACTAAATAGGTTTTTTGACCCGACCCTTATTTAGGGAGACCAAAACTAAAATAAAGGAGAATGTGACCGAGCCCTGGTGTTTGAGCTGCCTACATATCCTTGGCTATAAAGGAATTAGGCCACGTGTAGTTCAAAAGTGAATGAGGTGATAGATTATACCGAGGTGGAGAGACGATCGAGGTGCCATTCCGTCGAGGTTCCGGTCCGCAGTTCTGTTATTACATCAAAAATCAAAAAATGAAAAAACTAGCTAAGCCTGTCAACTACGAGTTACAAGATTCCTATCTATAAGTCTTCTGAAGCTTGATCTTGAGTCTTGAATGGTTCTTCATGCAGACTTTGGATTTGAACCTTGACACTTGCTAGTTGCAGGTGCTAGTTCATTCTTCTTCAACTTTTCGGATCAAAATCGGACATACCATGCTTGTGACTTCAGTCATGTCTTGAGCAGCTCAGATCTTTCATCAACTTCTGCATCTGGATTCACTTCTTGCCTTTTTTTATTCTGGATTGTGACTAACTTCTGTTGATCACCTCGGACTGTTCACTCGCATTCTTGCCGCGAGCTTCTATTGTTGCTGACTTGAATTGCATTCTGAAGTGAATTCCCTTATTCTCCAGGTAAGTGCCGGATTGCCAATATTTGAACTGTATTCCCTTGTTCTCCGCGTGGGCGCCTGATTACCAAAACTTGAATTGTATTCTCTTTGTTACTTTAAACTGTTTTCCCTTGAAACATGTGTTGTCTTCCTTTTCAACTTGAACTACTTTCCTTGTTCTCTAGGTGGGTGTCTGATTGTCAAAACTTGAACTGTATTCCCTTGCTCTCCAGGTGGGCGCCTGATTGCCAAAACCTTAACTGTATTCCCTTACTCTCCAGGTGAGCGCCTGATTGCCAAAACTTCAGCTGTATTCCCTTTCTCTCCAGGTGGGCACCTAATTGCCAAAACGTTAACTGTATTCCCTTACTCTCCAGGTGGGTGCCTGATTACCAAAACTTCAACTGTATTCCCTTGCTCTCGAGGTGGGCGCATGATTATCAAAACTTTAACTGTATTCACTTGCTCTCCAAGTGGGCGTCTAATTTCCAAAACTTTAACTGTATTCCCTTACTCTTCAGGTGGGCACCTGATTGCTAAAACTTCAACTGTATTCCCTTGCTCTCCAGGTGAGCGCCTGATTGCCAAAACTTTTAATTGCTTTTCCTTAAAACTTAAACTGCTCCTCCTTTGTTCTTCCAGGTGGGTACCTGATTTCCAACACCTGCATTGTTTTTCCTTGAGACTTGAACTGCTTCTCCTTGTTCTCCAGGTGGGTTCCTGATTTCCAACACTCGCGGTGCTTTTCCTTAAAACTTGAAATGCTTTTCCTTGTTCTCTAGGTGGGTGCCTAATTTCCTAGCATTTGAATCATCTTCCTTTCCTCCGAAACTTGACTTGTTTCCCCTTTGTTGTCCAGGTGAGCTCTTGATTGCTAACACCCGCACTACCCTTCTTTGAAACATGCCCTTCCTTGAAACTTGAAATGTCTTCCCTTGTTCTCCAGGTGGGTGCCTGATTACAACAAAACAGACAAAACAACAGAAATTTTTCTGCCCCAGTTTTATATTGGGAACATCTGTGAGTTGTTAGCAAAATTGTAAACCACTTATACTATTGATGCAATGATGAGAGTAAACTAGAGACTCGACTAGGATGTGCATCTCCCGTGAGTAAAACCAAGAAAATTTGACTAGCAAGTGCGCCTACTAAAAATAAAACCTGAATGAACCAAACTAGGAAGTGAGTCTCCTAGGGGTGAAACTTAAATGAACCAAACTAGGAAGTGCGTCTCCTATGAATGAACTCTCAATTTTAGGAAGTGCGTCTCCTAAAAGAATAACTTGAATGACCTTGATTAGGAAGGGCATTTTCTATAGGTAAAAATTCAATGAACCAGACAAGGAAATGCGTCTTTTAAGGCCGAACTTAAATGACTCAATTGGGAAGTGCGTCTTCTAGGGGTGAAATATCAATTTAGGAAGTGTGTCTCCTAAAACAAAAATATAACCTGAAAAACCCAGACTAGGAAGTGCATCTTCTAGGGGTGGAACTTCCATGACTCAAAGTAGGAACAAATCGGAAAATAGTAAATTTGATGAATATTCATTTTGTATGGTCTCATCTTCATCACACTTCTTTGTCTTCCAAGTCAAAAATAGTTTAGTTCTAAACTCCTTTCTTTTTCTATTTAGCTTTTATTATTTGTTTGGGTTTGTAATTATGTGACCACTGGAAGTGGAAGAGCTATTTGATGAGACTTCATCATATGATTGTACAAGAAGGAGCGTCTTCTATAAATGAACTTAAATGAACCAAATAGGAAGTTTGTCTCCTTAAACAAACATATAACCTGAAAACCCAGACTAGGAAGTGCGTCTCCTATGGGTGAAACTTTAATGACTCAAACTAAGAAGTGCGTCTCCTACGGATGTCTCAATTTAGGAAGTGCGTCTCCTTGGGTGAAACTTCAATAACCAGACTAGGAAGTGCGTCTCCTATGACCGAACTTAAATGACTCAAACTAGGAAGTATGTCTCCTAGGGGTAAAATCTCAATGTAGGAAGTACGTCTCCTAAAACAAAAATATAACCTGAAAAACCCAGACTAGGAAGTGCATCTCCTAGGGGTGAAACTTTAATAGCTCATGTTAGGAAGTGCGTCTCCTATGAATGAACTTAAATGAACCGGACTAGGAAGTGCGTCTCCTAGGCGAAAATCTCAATTTTAGGAAGTGCATCTCCTGAAAGTGTATCCCGAAAGACCCAGACTAGGAAATGCATCTCCCAGGGGTGAAATATCAATGACTTAAACTAGGAAATGTGTCTCCTAGGAATTAATTTAAATGACAAAGCTAGGAAGTGCATCTCCTAAAAAGTATAATTTGAAAGATCCCTACTAGGAAGTGCGTCTCCTAAAGGGTAAAATTACAATGACTCCAACTAGGACGTGCATCTCATAGGGGTGAATTTAAATGACCAAGACTAGGAAGTGCGTCTCCTAGGGGTGAAAACTTCAGTGACTAAAACTTATATGATCCAAACTAGGAAGTGCATCTCCTAAGGGTAAAATCTCAATTTAGGAAGTGTGTCTCCTACAATAAAATATAACTTGAAAATCCAGATTAGGAAGTGCGTCTCCTAGGGGTAAAACCTCAAATTAGGAAGTGCATCTCCTACAACAAAATAAAACTTGAAAACCCAGACTAGGAAGTGTTTCTCCTAGGGGTGATGTGTGATCTTCTCAATAGCCTTTGCGTAAGCAGAACTGGGACATTACACCTGAAAAATTCAAGCTTCTAAGCTTTGATATGAACCTAGCTTTCGTCCCTGTTTCAGACAAAGAAAACTTGTGAGTTTAAACATGGTGGTTGGTTTGTGGCCTTGACTTTGCGGCGATTACTCCTTCACTTGCCATGATAACTTTGATTTCAACTTGAAAGATATTGCTTGTTCATTAACTAAGTACTTTCTCTGTCACTCTTATTGCAGAAAGTACCTCTGATTCATTCAAACTCAATACCATCTACCCGTTGCATTTTGCTCATGAATTGACATTTACCGAACCTTTGTATTTCACATGAATACCAAAGCACGTTGATTGTTACTGACTCAGTGCGCATACTGTTCTTTCCTAACTTATGCCACTTGATGTGCTGGCCAGACTCCGTTTTGTGCAATTGGAAAACTAGTAGCAAATTTTGAAGTCATTTCTCACTTGTTCTAACCAAACAGACTCAGGAAGAGGAAGTAAACAAGACAAAATGAACAGAGTAAAGGACAATGGAAAGAGATGATTCCTAACAAGAAAACTACAAAGTAGAAACTTATCAGATGTGGATACCAACTCTAATGACCATGACATGCACCTTTGGATTAAGTGGCCTAATTTGTTAAGCAAGTCTAATGTTCGACTCTTGTTGTGCCTCTTCGCCGTGAAACTGGGCTTCAATGCTCTGATTATCCTATCGGATTCACGGTCCTTATTCGACTTGTAGTGCCCAAAGGGTTTTCACCATCAAGCCTCTCTCATTTTGCTCTTTCTATCAACTTACCATCGCCTTATGGTGTCCGCGAAGGTTTTCACCGATAAGACTATCTCATTTTTTTTTCCTTGTATAGAACGGAGTGTTGCCCCTAATGAGAATCATGCCTCTAACTCGCTTGACTTGGCACTACACAAAGATTGATCGGAAAGTCTTTCTTTGGACTATAATGTAGGCTTTTGGATAGGATTGGAAACAAAAGGTATCATAAAGGCTCAAAAATAAATTAAACAACATTACAACTTTGGAATCGGATCTCTTACAACAACCACAACTTCTGCCCCAGTTTCTTTGCTTGGGGACTTTTGAATTTTTAT